CAATCTACAATAGTGGAATTGCTGTTGGCCATCTATCCTGGTACTAACCAAGCTCAATCCCAGCTTAGTGCTTAGAATTTCAACAAATGGTTTAGAATTTCACTTCTTTCTTTACTCACTACACTCTTCATCATGGATGAGACAGTACGAATCTACCATTTAATTCCAGTATGTTTAGAATTTAACTATCCCAGTTGAGGACTTTTCAGTCCTTACTTTGAAAAATCTGAGGAACATTGTCCATGGGGTCGCGATGGGTCGGACATGACTTCGCAATTAACAACAACAACAATGCATTCTAACCACTGTGCCACCATGGCTCCTTAAGACAATTTGTGTGATATACTCCCAGGGGAATGATTTCATTTAATTATTTAGGGCAACAAATAACTATGCTACCTATTTTTAATAATTAAAATTTTCATCTATAGATCACAGGGGTTCTCACACATTATGGTTCTGTAATTATTCCCTAGGCTTTTATACAACACAACCAGCAAAGCCTGGAGCTCATTTTAACATCACTCCTGCTTTACCTGTGCAGTCACAAAGTGAGAGAGCAATCAAAAACTACTCTTGCTTTTCCAGGGGAAGGCTGAAACCTGGGGAAGCAAATCCCAGAGTCAGTTTTGACACAGTTCCACCTGTGCAAATCTGATCCAAGTTTTATATATATATATATATATATATATATATATATATATATATATATATATATATATATATATATATATATAAATTAGGTACATCTCTAAATTAGTCAAGAGTTCCCCAAAGAGGTTGAGGATTTCTTAATTATAGAATAGAACAGCTGTTCTTTAATTTCCTCCTTGTTAAATCTTCAGAGTTTGGTCTTCCCCTTATTCCCCCTTATCTCAAACTAATAATTCTCCACACAATTTACAAATTAGAACTCCTGCATGCTTCCTAAGATCAAGGTTGCTTGAAACTAAACACAACTCCAAAGCTGTTAGGAAAAAACACACCCTACCGGAAGGCATTTAGTTTCACTCCTTCTGCTTGCAGTTCTTGCTAATGTCACACATCAAACTCAGAAAAAGACAAAAAGACAGGTGCATACATTTTAGGAGAGGTGCAGAAAGAGAAAAGAGCCATGCAGAAGAGCAGCCATTAATTCTCCTTAAATTCCATGGCTATGCTCATCTAGGTAAGAATTATATGCCTATTAATGTGGAATTATACTTAGGATTTATGTATTGGTAGGTGATACCTAAGTCTTTGTGTAGCAATTGTGTAATCTACATATTTTACTTGTTTGGGGTAGTTATCCTTTTTTTTGCTAAATTCTCCCCGAAGGAAAAAAAAAGGTTCTCTTTTTCTTGAAGATGAACTGAACATTCTTTAGTGTAAGCAGTGAGCAGCCCACATACTGAAACCACTAGCAACCCAATTCATCAGCTCCCATAGTAAGCTTCTTGTAGGAGGTAAGTAGTCTTGCTGTGATTCTAATCCACAGAATATCCAAAGGAGCACTGTTATTGAATCTGATAATGAAGTAAAAGCGGTAGGCCAACACATCAGGACAAAGCTAGGAAAGGTTGCTATGAAAATTGCAAATTAATTCTATTTTCCAACCCCAACTAAATGGACTACCCTTTAAAAATCAACTGCAGAAAAAGGTCATATCTCCTTCAATTAAGTCCCCTTACAGTAGAAGAACAATGTATTCAAAAACAAAACAAAAAGATACGTTCCTTAAATGATATTTTCTGGATGGGTTGAACTATCTGGAAATCCCAAACATGTGGCGCCTTCCATGTTGGGAAACATCAATAGATGTGTTATCTGGAGATCAGTTTCAAAATGAGGACAATGTTTCTAACTTCATTCTTTCCAAGGCAAGATCCTGAATAACCATTGTACTTGCCTAATAGTCAAAACATTGAGATATTTTCCCCATGGCCAGTAAGCATTAAGTAAACAGGAGCTGGGAATATTTAGCTATTCCAATCCCCCTCGCCAATTTTTCTTCTAAAGATCCCACTGGGATTACAGCAACTGCAGTTTAAATAAAGAAATGAAAGGAAAGATGTTCGTTTTACTCTTATCCTGGAATTCTCACTGGCAGCAAGTGGCAGGTAAATTTATGGGGATAATTCTAATAAAACAGCTTTAAAAACCATCTGGTTCTCACTGAATAGCATTTGTCCATTACAGTCATCCTATAACATTTTAATTGGTTAATTTAATTGATTAAGGCTTGCTTTCCTAATGAATAAGCAAATAACCTCTATCTGGCATGGGTTGGTGGTTCTCAAACATTTATAGCTGTCTCTGCTATGGAACCAGGATAAGAACATGATTAAAGTTTATAATCTTCTCCTTGCCAGCTTCAACATATGGAGCCTAGACACTTTTTCCAGTACACATGTTCTGTCTTGGGGATCTATAATGTCCTTGAATCCATCGATTTATCTATGTGGGAAAGAGACTAAAGTAGATAAACTTTGATTATGATTCTTTCCTATTGGATTTTTTCTTCTTTAAAGGAGAGAGACAAAATCAGTTTCACCACCTCTAATAGAAATTAAAGCTTTCCTCATAAATATGCATGAATGTACATTTACTTCTTGCTATGGATAAAAACTGATGGCTACACTTAAATGCATCCCAAGGATAAAACATAGGACATCTCCTAAAAACCCAAATTACTGTCTAAATCTAGATTGGATGTAATTTCCTTGGTCAAAATGTATCTCAGTCTCCAATATTCTGAAAAAGAGGCGTCATGTAAATTCAGCTTGTTTAGCTACAATTCCTCCTGACATACATCTCACACAACATAGAAGGGAATCTTGCTCTTAGATAGTTCACAGGGACATTGGAAACAAAACAGTCTCATTCATGTGGACCTGAGCTGTCACATCAAAAATCCTGCTAATTCATGTGGGTTTTTATTGTCCACTTTTAAATTCAGTCATTGTTGAAAATATTTAGACAAGCTCCATGCTAGCCTATTTTATGGACTTTATCTCTTGACCTCCCAGGAAGTGAAAAGGGTCTGGACAATAGCAATAGCACTTAAATTTATATACCACGTCACAGTGCTTTGCATCCCTCTCTAAGCAGTTTACAGAGTCAGCATATAATAGAATAACAGACATATTTGTTTTGAGGTTGACTCAAGTATTGCCAGCAATAGGTCTACATCCAAATGACTTCCTACGACTATTGGGGCAGATGAGTTTTCACCCAATATTTCCTATATTTTCTACACACAAGGGTTATGATAGCAAATGGACAGCATAATAAATGATCAATAGCTTATCACCAGCATCTTATGAAAAGTGTTGGACATTTATTAAAAGAGCTGTATGGAAATTCTCAATCATCCAGGTCATGGATGTCCCAAAGGTGCAGCAGTCCATCTGCATTTGAAAAACAAAGGACTCTTTTGACGACAGCAAAGTCCACATTTGGGACAGAGAGGACTGCTGGTTTGAAAATGGGGTCAAAGAGGTTATCTATATAAAGACTGAACAGCCCTCTCTTAACAGAGGGGGAAGAATATGAGACCACCTATTTCCAGTTTGCAACACAGTCCTTTAAACATTTCCAAGAAGGTTCCACACCTATTTGCACTATTCAGGTGACCCTGAGGGCATAGATAAACCTCCAAGTAGCTTCAATGACTCTCAGAAAGAGCACCAACGACTAGATGACTACAAGGAATATAAATTCTTCCATCCGTCCACCATTCAGTCAGAACTGACGAAGCTTCCTGGATGAGAAATGAAAGGTCTTCAAGAAAAAACGAAGTCCACTTGTCTTTTGAAAAAGCACCTTTGGGACATTCCATTAAAAAGGGGACAGTCTTTGGCCTGTGAATGTTGTCACCTTCTCCAAGACCTACTAGAGTTATTGCTTTGGGAAGAGGCTGGAATAATGCCATTGTCAATGTTATAAATTAGAATGTTCGACTCCCTTAAGATGTGATGTGCTGAACTTGGAAGTCCAGCAGAGTGGATTGGATACAAAATGTATGATGAAGCGTATCTGCTCAGTGAGGACCCAACTGATGTCTCTCCCAATATGTGGCACCTAATTAATGTTGCTGAACTGTTAACTGCCTCTTCATTTCCATTAATTTTAAATTAGGCTCTGTGAGGAATGCTGAGCTTTGCACAGTTACTGTGAGGACAGAAGCAGAAGAGTAAAGGCAGAGAGAGGAACAGTGTGCTCTTTTTTTGTCTCATTGTTAGATTACTGCATCTCATAGTATCATCAGAAGGTTCCATTTAATATCCACAGTACTTTAGTTAGTTTACAGCTACCCAATTCAGAGACTGTGGGAGGTTTATAATAGTAAAAGCATAAAAATACTATAGTATGTGAAATCATTTCTAAACAATTATAATCAACCTACAAAGCACTTGAGAAAAAAACCAATATTGAACATAGTAATCAGGAATCAACATAACCAAAACCCAACATTAAACATAGTAGTATATAGCAGACATGAGCTACACTATCCATTTATCTAAAGACCCGCTGAAATGGATGATTTCCATAAAAAGGCAGAAAGAAGGGTATCATCCTAACCCCAGGAGGGAAGACAATTCTAAAAATTGAAAGGAAAATGCTTGTCCTAGCTGTCCTGTCCTCAAAGCCACTAGAGAGATGGAACCATCAGCATAACATCCTGGTTAGAATGCACAAGTTAGGAAGAGGCTACTAAATCCCTCACTTCAGAAACGATGGCCTTAAGCTGTAAAGGGTTTTTTAGTGTGGAAATAATCACAACTTATTGTAGGAGAATAAAAGCCATTTTCACTGCCCCCAAAGCCGTTCATAAGCCAAAGAAATAAGAAACTATGTTGCAGACAAATAGATACAATCTAACTAGCAGTTTGAAAATATGCTACAGGCAGTGGTGGGATTCAAATATGTGAACAATCGGTTCTCTGTGTGGATGCCACTTCCGGAAGTCCGTTCTAGGCCTGAGCAACAAAAAATTAGCTACCGGGGAAACACTCAAAATGGCACCACCAGCAGGCCCCAGGAGGAAAAGACAACCCCAAGTGGAAGTTGAGGAAGAAGAAGAAGGAGAAGAAGAAGAAATGGAAACTGAGGAAAAAATCAAAGGGGGTGAAAAGTTCATGAACCCTAAGGGGACATTTTGCCAATATCCCCCAGATGACACCGAGCCACACCCCGGGATAGGGAAATCTGCCGAAATTGAACATGCAACTAAATGCTTCCTTAATTCACAACACAGGAGCATTTACCATCCAGTGACACCAAGTCTTGTATTCTTGTGCTATCTGATCCCTGGACTGTGGTCTGCATTCAGAGAAGCTGGTGTTCCAACAAGTTCATACTTTGCTGCACCAATCGGAGGGAAAATTGAGACAAGTAGTTTTATCAACACTGGAATAACTAATGACCCTTTGACCACACTTGAGCTGTCATCCGTTATTGCTCACTGTACAACACTACTTATTGGAGTCATCATTGGTCATCAGCTGGGTCTGCGCAGATCAAGAAAAGAATAAAGGCATTGTTTGTGACATTGGGAAAACCAACACATGCAGAGGCAGCAAATGCTCTTCAACTCTTCCCTCCAACTGCAGCAATAGACGATCAACTCTCAACCATGGGCTAGGAATCTAATTCTGGGTTTGTTGACCACAACTTTTGAGTCACCCGGGAAAGAGATGATGGCACAGCTATCAATGATTGCGGAGCATGCACAGATGACAACCTACTCCACAATCAATTCATATCTCAACCAATGCATGGATGCAACAATAGCTCTCCCTGCTGTTGTGAAGGAAATTGAGGAATTTGAAAGAGTAACTCGTGACCTCAAAATTAAACTCAAAAAGTTGTTCAAGTATGCTGGAGCAATAAGACATCCAGATGTAATTCAAATAGCTCCTAAAGCTTTTCCAAACTTGGCAACTGCTGCCCTTAATTGGAGTAAGAGAAAAAGTACTTCAATGGGAGCATATAAGTCACCAGATATCATTCCTGGAGCAACAATAACGGAGTTTGTGCTTAGTAGAGCAAGAAAGAGCCGTATTGTGAGGTCTGGTGGTGGCGAGGAGATGGGCTCAGCTACATGAAATATTTTGTTGAAGTATGGGATTACTGGTTTCAGTACAGAAAAAGATTGAAACAATTCTCTTAAAAAAAAAAATTAGCTACTGGTTCTGCCAAACTGGTGAGAACCAGCTGAATCCCACCAATGGCTACAGGAGAATAGATAAATAGGTAGCACTTTAGTGGGAAACGGGGTGGCGTTTTGTGTGGATGGTCAGACCCCTGTTGTGCTGGACCAATCTAGATGTGATGCTCAACTGTGAGACAACATCAGTAATGAGAAAAGACCCCAAGTGACGCCATATGATTCTGCTCGTTTTTCTGGTATGGTAGGGTTAGTTTGCCCTCTGTGGTGCACCTTGGATAGAGTGCAAGTGCAAACTAAACAGACTAGCAGTAGCCAAATAACTACTTTGTACTAATACTGCACAGGTAGTAGTCCTTGACTTACAACAGTTCATTTAGTAATCGTTCGAAGTTACAATGGCACTGAAAAAAGTGACTTATGAGCCATTTTTCACACTTATGATCGTTGCAGCACCCCCACGGTCACATGATTTACATTTGGATGCATGAAAACTGGTTCATATTTATGACCGTTGCAGTGTCATGTGATCATCTTTTGTGACCTTCTGACAAGCAAAATCAATGGGGAAGCCAGATTCACTTTTCAACCATGTTACTAATTTAACAATGGCAGTGATTTCACTTAACAAATGTGGCAAGGAAAGTCATAAAAATGGGGCAAAATTCACTTAACAAACTTGGCAACATAAATTCTGGGCTCAATTGTGATCGTAGATCGAGGTCTACCTGTAGTCTCATGGCTAATAGTACCATCTCCATATGCTAAATAACTGGCATCACACAGAACCTACACACACCCCTTAACATCCTCAATTTTGGGGGTGGGTGGAGAGAAGGAGAGGGATTAATCCGAGGCCCCTGCAATGGGTCTCTCTCCTCTTCTCTTTAATCTCCACATAAAACAGCTGGGTGGCATGTGGTGTTGGGGCTGATGATGCCAATATGGATCATACCCCTATTTATACATCTCCAAGCCTGGCTGGGCAGGTGAAGTTGTAGTGGTATTGACAGCAGCTAGGATGCTCAGTTTCAATCACATCTGTCTCTCTGCCACACGGCATCTTTGAAAACTATTAGGGCTTCCCAGAGGACAATTGCCATTTCATCCCATCTGCTCTGGGATTGTGACCTGTATGAAATCTGGAATTCATCTCAGGTGAAGGGGACCTTGAGGAGTCGCAATTTTACAGCCAGATCAGCTGCCTCCTCCACAGCAAACCCTTGGATGAGAGAATCCTCATCACATACTGACCTGACATTTTGTGGCACCTTTTGTAAGCCGTCAAGACTCATTGAATTAAGCAGAATATATAAGTAATAAATAAAGTGAGGGGAACAAACAATGCAAAATATTGATAAATCATATAAAAAGAGCATGATGTGTGAATTTTACTTGTGCATTTCAATATACAGCAGCTTTTCTTTCCCTCTTGAAACTAAAAGATATTGGAAGGAGAACAATTCACTAGTGGATTTTAACTAGGGGGGGAGAGAAGCTCAGTGACGTTGTGTCATTTATTAAAATGCAATTGATCGGGAAGAACATTCTCTTATTCACCAGCCTAAATGTGAACTCTTATCAATGTCTCCACTTCTCTTTCCAAAAGCAGTACTCCTGGACTGATCAACAGCCCACAGGAAACCCAACAATTGCTTTAGAAAGTGGCAGGCAAGCATTACATAGGCAAATCCATCTGCAGGAACCAAGTATCTGGTCTCTGATGCAGTCCAGCAAGCCAGAATGGTCATGGTGGACATTGTTGAAGGATTGGAGGGGAGGCTGAGGATGGGATGGTGGCAGTATCATAAGGATGTGTTATTTAAGGATTAAATGTTCACGCTCCAGCTAAAGGACATGAGGAAGAGTGCTATCTTAGGTAGACCATGATTCCAGTATACATCGTTATCTGAAGGATTATCTCTACCCAAGTTACATCTATTCAATCTACCAGAGCGGTGAAAGTCAAATATGGCTTTTTTAGGCTCATGCCTCAGTATGCATATTTTCCAATGAGACAGACCAAGACAGGAAGATCAATTCATTACAATTTATCAGAGTATTGATACAAAAGGGATTCCTCTCATAGAAAGAGGGAACCCAGATCCTTAGCTTGCATCCCATTTTATAGTTAATACAACAAAGAAAATGCAACAGGAAAGTTGATTGGACAGGATAAAAGTAACCCCTCCTTTGCACAGTAAATCCGCTACATGTAGTCAAACATGTTACATTTATGGTTATTTAAACGAGGTCTGATGTCAGAAGGGGCGTAAATGTTAACAAGGAAAAGGTTTTTGAGAGGTCATGAAGAAACTAACCAGACATCAATGAGCACTAACAAATTTTTTCTTATCAGGAGATGGTTTCCAGCCATCCCTTCTATAGTTTATCTTTTCAGTTTAGGACTGTTAGAAGCAATCAATCAAACAATCAATCCATATAGCAATAGGATAAAAGGTTTTCCTGCATTCCAGTCTGTAATGAGCCTTAACACCCTTTTTTAAAAGAGAGAAATAAGTCAAATTAAAATACAAAGTAACTATGTTAGTTAACAAATTACAAAGTCCATGTCATGTGCCTCAGTGAGGAGGCAAGGAATGTTGCAGGTCCCCCCTCCTAAGGAGGATATCTGGCAGGACCCAGAAGGGTCTTCTCTGTGGTAGCTCCCTCCCTTTGGAACATCATCCCGACAGAAATTAGACTGGGCCCCCAATTTGACATTCTATTGCCAAGCCAAGAACTCTTGCTTATGCCAACGGGCCTGAGGAACCCAGAATGGGATGAAGCCCATCAAGTGGCTTGTTTGATTGATTGCTGTCACTGGGCCTGGGGTGAAGAACTATTATTTTCATTGGTGTATATTAGGGTTTTTTTTGGTAAACCTCTCAGAGACCCTATGAGTGGACAACCATCTAAATTTCCTAAATAAATAAATATAAGACAACTCTTATGAAAAACAAAATAATGGGTTGGTTAAAGAATTAATCCAGGATAAGTTAAGGCTGGGGTGGACTATATTATATGGCTATGTTTATAAAAAAGAACTGGGGCATTATAATTTAGAGGTTCCCCACTCTTGAGTTAACAGCTAATCATGAAGAATTCCAAATGAAACTTCATTTAACTCCATAACTGATGCTGATACACATCTATTAAAAATCAAAGCTTGGGCAATGAAAGCACATTCTGGGCCTGCATTGCCAAGTTGCAACCTAGGATGGCAAGAAATTCAGGCAGAATGACGTCCTCCGCCCAAACAGAATCCATCACTGCCCTTAATACCTGGAATCTGGAGAACCTTCCAGCTGGAGAGCTCAGAAGGTGTTGGCAATAATACTTGACTGACATTGGGTAATCTAAAAAACTAAGGCTAATTAGCCCTTTAAGTCCTGGGATGGGAGACCAAAAGGAAGTCCTAAGACTTTTAATTTAAACTTCTGGGGAATTAAACATCCTGGGAGAAGGAAATAGCAAGCTACCCCTGCACTGTTGACAACATATTTGTATAAGATTCTAGAGCAGAATAGAAAATAAATACTGTATTTTGTTAATTGGAAGTTCTAAGGATTAAACTCAAGACTTTGAGCAAATGCACAGAAACATGCCCTGTACATATGCATACCCTTGTTCTACTACTTGCTATAGCATATTTATTTCTTTTCTGGTCATATGGCAGAATGTTTGTGCACAGGGAGGTTCAGTTTCCATCCTACAGCAACAAAAAGCAGTAAAACATAGCAGTTCTCCCGTAGAGGCAGAAATCATTTCAGAATGGCAGCTTGGTGAGCCGTGTCACTGCCAAGCTTAAGGAATAATGGCAGGCTAAAGACACTTAGCAGCTCTCATCAATCCATCCACATCAGAATAAACTATTGCACACTCCTAGCCAACTGAATAATGGGGGAAAAAAACCCTCTAACTTCTTAGTAAGAAAAAATTCCCGAGCTTCTGACTGCAACCCGAATCCAGCTGAGACAAGAATTTTAATTCTTAAGTCACAGTATCCAAACGATTTTTAAAAATATTTTTTTTTCAGTTTGCAAATTGGTAAAAAACGACTTTGAAGATAACTCGGATTCTCCCCTGTCTTTCAGATGCTTACAGTGGGAATCTCCTGAGAACTTTGCAAGCGCCTACTCATGACGCCACCTTCTGGTTGCCACTGGAAGCAGATTCCAGAAAAATAGATGTGTTGTATTGATTGACTAGATTTAGCTAGGGATAGCTAGCATTAGACATTTTAGGTCATGGACTAGCAAGCTAGCATCAATAGGAAAGAGGGTGACTGCCACTTTCCTGAGTGCCCCCACTTCAAATAATGCTAATATTGCAGAAATTGTATACAAGATCTTACATAAAATTACCAGTATATCTCAAGGCCTCATGTTAAATTATCAACATCTACCGTGATATTGAAATCTCATGAGATGGCTTAAGTCTCAAATTGAAGAACGTTGAAGGCTTTCAAAATTTCACTAAAGATTCCACAAGAGAATTTACAAGATGTTAATGTTGCAGAGAGCGAATGTGTGAAAACTGGGGGGGGGGGAATAGATTAACTTAGTGTGTTTGTTTTCAATGTGTTTTTGTCTGTTTCTGCATCTGTTTGAAAGTTTTTAAAAGCCTGCATGAATTCATATGCATTTATGTAATCATTTTTTTCTTAATGTGCCCGTTTAGCATTTAGCCTAGAAGTGGAAAATTTGAAAGGAACTTGTTTGTCCTTTTGTTTAATTCAATTCAGGCACTGCTTGTTACCCCGCTGAGTAGTCCAGACAAGGACTACTTATTGTAAGGTTACAGTAACCGCACAGGACAGTAACAGAATATTACAAGTCTGAAAGTACATCTCTCCCACCTCTGTTTTACAGTCCAAGAAACTAGGGAGGGTGTCTTCTGAAACATTTACCACCCCCATTCCTTCTGCAGACTGTT